CGTGACCTTGACCAACTTAGCTTCTTTAAGCATCCATTTCATTCCTATAAGGTGGTGTAATAATGGATGACAATAAGCAGCTGCTTCTTCTTCTTCTTTTTTTTTTTTTTTTTTGAGACAGAGTCTTGTTCTGTTAACCTGGCTAGAGTGCAGTGGTGTCATCATAACTTACCGCAACCTCAAACTCCTGAGCTCAGGCTCTTGCTCAGGCTGTTCTTGAACTCCTGACCTCAAGCGATCCTCCCGCCTCAGCCGCCCAGAGGATCACTTGAGCCCAGAAGCTGGAGGCTGTCAGGGAGCTATGATTGTGCCACTGCACTTCAGCCTGGGCAACAGAGTGAGACCTTGTCTCTAAGAAAACAAATACATGTATACACACACACACAGGGAAGAAACCCAGATCATGTATCAAATGATTTAAAAAAACAAAGAGGGCCAGGTGTGGAGGCTCACACCTGTATTCTTAGCACTTTTGGGGGGCTGAGGCTGGAGGATCTCGAGCCTAGGAGTTTTAGGTTGCAGCGAGCTATGAACACACCACTGCAGTCCAGCCTAAGCAACAGAGTTCAGACCCTATCTCTTAAAAAAAAGAAAAAAAAAAAGGGTAGTAAAAATAAATTTAAAACAAATCTAAAATAAAATGATGGAACCAAACATATATCAATAAATAGGATAAGCTCAACTGAGCTTAAAAAATAAAAAGATTCTCTGATTGAATAAAAAAATAAGTAAACCCCACAATATGCTGAATAGAAGAGACCCAGTTAAAACAAAATACCTGCCTGTAATCGTAGCACTCTGGGAGGCCGAGGCGGGCGGATTGTTTGAGCTCAGGAGTTCGAGACCAGCCTGAGCAAGAGCGAGACCCTGTCTCTACTAAAAATAGAAAGAAATTAATTGGCCAACTAAAAATATATAGAAAAAATTAGCCGGGCATGGTGGTGCATGCCTGTAGTCCCAGCTACTCGGGAGGCTGAGGCAGGAGGATCGCTTGAGCCCAGGAGTTTGAGGTTGCTGTGAGCCAGGCTGACGCCATGGCACTCTAGCCCAGGCAACAAAGTGAGATTCTGTCTCAAAAAAAAAAAAAAAAAATATCTCAGAAAGCTTGGAAGTAAAAAGATGAAACAAAAAAAGAATAAAAATGGATGGATTTCAGGGAGATTTGTATGTGTCCATAGACTTCCTTTTTCCCTAATAAAGATTTATTTTTTAATTAATAATGATGACAATAGTTTTTAAATTATAAAAATAACATAACATTGCTATAGAAAATCTCAAGGATAGAGAAATGAAGTAAGAAGTCACCCTGATATTGCCCATGGGAATATGGATGTATAGATAGTTCTTGACAGGCTTTCCCCATACACATCCATAATTATAGTCAAATTACATATAACATTTCACTACATATAATATTGTTACATCTAACATTTCACTATGTTTTTTCACTAATACTGGAGCCTAAGCATATTTTTCGTTATTATTAAGCAGATTTCTTAATTATTATCTTGGGCAACTACACTAACTGATTTATTCATCCATTTAGTAAACATTCAGTAAAGGGGCAACGGAGCATGAGTGTAGGCTCTGGAGCCAGACTAGCTAAGTTAATACACCAGCTGTACCACTCAAAAGCTGTATGGCTTTGGTCAAGACTCTTAACCTTTCTGTAAAATAATTTGTAAAATAATAATAATATCTACATCATAGGGTTGTCATGAGGACTAATTAATAGATGTCAAGCACTTAGAACAGTGCCTGCCACATCATAAGTACTATAAGTGTTAGCTATTACTGTTACTATTATTATCATTATTTTACTATTCAAAGGGCATCTGCTGTGTGCTCAGTTCTCTGCTGGGGCACTGGAGACTCACAGATGAATCAGATGTAGTCCCTGCCCTTGGGAGCTCCCACCTTGGTGCAAGAGACAGAAATATAAATAAATCATTACCTTCTGTAGGCCAGAGCTTCCCAGACTTTTCTAGTGAGTTGCCTGTCTGCAAAGGCAAGTGACTGCATCCCCCTGGGGGAATCTAGGGGCACAGCTGAAGGCAGCCAGGCTGAGAATGTCTTTGAAGTCTCCATATTTCATCTTCAAAATTCATGCAAATTTTATATTCTTCTCACATTGCATCCATGTTTAAATTAGAAAAAAGAAAGGGTGTTTTAAATGTACTTATAGTCATCTAGCTTTATCCACCAGATCATGCAGTGAGGACCCACTTGGAGGAGCACAGACAGCCCATCTTTGTGGGCTGGGCAGAGGGAGAGGAAGGGAGAGGGTATAGGCCTATGGTAGAGGGGACTGCTCAGCTGGGTCTAGAGGGCAAAGTGGACTTTATTAGAGAAAGAGGAGCAGAGTTGGCCTGGTAGAAGGAATGGCATATGAAAAGCACAGAGGCATGAAGGGGCAAGTTTAGGAAGCAATGGTCAGTTTAGTATGACTGGAGTGTGCAGTATATATGGAGAAGTATCCAGAGAGCACACTGGGAATGAACAGTGATGGAATCAAGAGTTTGAGCTTAGGCTATTACTATTATGCACTTGGACTCCAGCTTCACCAGCTCTTGGGGATGCTACCTTTTTTTTTTTCCTTAGATCGAGTCTCGCCCTGTTGCCTAGGCTAGAGTGCAGTGGCATCATGGCTCACTGCAATCTCAAACTCCTGGGCCCAAGCGATCCTCCTGCCTCAGCCTCCCAAGGAACTGGGACTACAGGCATGCGCCACCACCCCTGGCTAATTTTCAAAAGTTTTTGTAGACATGGGGTCTCGCTCTTGCTCAGGCTGGTCTCGAACTCCTGTCCTCAAGCAATCCTCCCGCCTTGTCCTCCCAAAGCGCTAGGATTACAGGCGTGAGCCACTATGCCAGCCAAGTATGCTACTTAATGTCTCTAAACTTTAGTTTTCTCATTTTAAAAATAGGAATAAAAAAGGTGCCTATCTCATAGAATGGCAGTGAGGATTGAATTAAATCACATATGTCAAGTGCGCAGCTGTGATTTTGATGATGTCAAATGACTCTTTGTTGTTTCCCACCCTACAGCCAAGTGAGGCACAGACTGGCCACCCCTGGCCAGTCACCCATTTCCTCTGCCAACTTCCAGATCTAAATGGCCTGGAATGCAAGGCATCTATAGGGAACCAAAGACATACCTCCCATGCCTCCAAACTAAAGGGTGATGCCTGCTGCCCCCAGCTCACAAATCCCTTCATGAGTGGGCCCTTGCCTACTGCTCCAGCCTCATCTCTCCTTTGTAGGTCTACATGCAACTCCTAGAACATACTATCTTGGTTTGCACTTGCCATTCTCTCTCTCTGGAACACTTTTCCTCTACTTTCCCATCCCTACTACCCTGTCCCACCCTACCATCACCTGGCTAAACCCTACTCATTTTTCAGGTCTTAGGTTAGATGTCAGGTCTTCAAAGCCTTAACCTCGACATAGCAGGTATGCAATGACTATTCATGAAATGAGTGAGTGACAGAAGATACCAGGCCAGGCCTATGCAGAGGCTGGGGCCAGAATTCAGGAAGGGGGTAGGGACTATTACAGAGGATCATGACCTACCCCCACTCTGGGCCCTGGGCAAAGTGAGCCAAAGCTATTTTAATTCTATACTCTATAACCATGCCATTCTGCTGACTTTTTGAGATCAGGTTTAAATACCAGCACTATCCAATAGAACTTCCTAAAATGATGGAAATATTCTGTATCTGTGTTGTCCAATGTGGTATTCACCAGCCACATATGGATACTGAGCACTTGAAAGGTAGCTAGGGGCCAGGTGCAGTGGCTTATGCCTACAATCCTAGCACTCTGGGAGGCCGAGGCAGGAGGATCACTTGAGCCCAGGAGTTTGAGGTTGCAGTGAGCTACAATGACACCAACGTACTCTACCCAGGGTGACAGAGCAAGGCTCTGTCTCAAAAAAAAAAAAAAATGAAGAAGAAGAAGCCTTCACTGACCTTGACCTTCTGGACCAGGTCAGGATCCCCTGTTGTACACTGTCATAGCAGTGTCCCCTTACATTAAAGCACTCATCCCAGTAGTAATTTTATACCTCTTTGTGTGATTCATGGATTAATGTCTGCCTCACTCCAGAGGGCTGGGATGGATTTGTTTTTCTTCCTCGTGTATCTCCAGTTCCTACCATATTAAGTGCTAAATAAATATTTCTGGAGGGATGGCAGGCAGGGGTAGGCTTCCAGGTCTGGTTAAGGAACATGAGCTTCAGAAACCCCAGTTCTTGTCTTTTGCTCACACACTAGCTGTGGAAGCTTTGGAGGCAGGAGGTTCCTTTGGCCTGTCTGGCTTTCAGCTGGATTCTGATTTTGGCCTCTCACCCAGGGCTGCAGCCAAGATCTCTGATGGTTCCCAGTACTATGTTCTGCTCATCATCACTGATGGAGTCATCTCTGACATGACACAGACCAAGGAGGCCATCGTCAGTGTGAGTCTGAGGAGGAGGGCTTGGCAGGGAGGGGTAATGGCAATACTGTGAAGCGGCTGAGATTTTACCCTACTTGCAAGCTAACAAGTTAGCCTGTCAGTTTCATGGGTGCTCGCAGTAGACACAAGACTCTTGGATCAGAGACAAAGGACTTTGTTATTCCCAGCATAAAACAGGAGCTGGAGTACCAGCACTTACTCTGACTAAGTCCCACTTCCCACAAGATGATGTGAAGAGGGCAAGATGACACTTTCACCTGCTGTGGATTGCATTACAGAAGAGGAACCCTAAGCTTAGGGAGCCTGAATCTTTTATAGTGAGCAGTAAGCATGCCTGCCCATTGTTCCAGTGGGAGACCTTTTTAATGATGCTGGACAGTAAATAAACCTACGCTTGCTCTAGAGGAAAACAATATATCTTTCAAGGCTGCTGATATATAAACATCCTTTTAAAAACAGTCTAGAACAAGAGAATCAGTGCCTCTGCTCACAAGATGTGCAGAAACATGACACACACAGAGAAAACTGTCTCCCAACAGTGACCTCCCCTGTTATGGCTGCTCACCTCAACCATTCACCCTCTCTCCCCCACAGGCCTCCTCATTACCCATGTCTATCATTATTGTTGGTGTGGGACCAGCCATGTTTGAGGGTAAGTAGGATGCAGGTACCCATGAGTGGGACTAAGAACTGGGGAGAAAAGTGGGGGTGCGTAGATGGATCTGGACACTAAGGCCTGCCTCACAGAAAAGACAGGGTGGTTACCCTTGGGGAACCCTGGCCAAGTCACAGACCTTCTCTGAACCTGTTTCCTCATCATAACTAAGGCTGATGATACTAATACTTCCTCCCAGGGGTTCTTGAGAGGATGGAATGTGTGGGAACACATAATAATGGTAATAACAATGTTTAATATTAACACAATCATTAGACATTCTCATGATGACCCTGAAGGGGAGCTAAGAGGGAGGGCGCAGCACCGGTTCGGGCTGGAGAATCCAATCAGCTGAGGGGTGTCTTTCTGCAGCAATGGAAGAGTTGGATGGTGATGATGTACGCGTGTCCTCTAGGGGACGCTACGCAGAACGGGACATCGTTCAGGTAGACCTGACTTAGAAGAGGTGGTGGAACTGAGAGGCACAGTGGGAAGAAGAGGCTAAGTTGGGAGCCACTCTCCCTTACTGCCTTCTCAATCACCTACCCTTCTCCCCCTCACCTGTCATCCTTCCTCATTCACTGAATACATTCTTTTGACAAATAGGAAGGTTGCTGCAGGCTTGATAGATCCATGGTGTAGGAGATCCCCAAGGTCCTTGCCCTCTAGTGGAGGCAACCAACAATAAATAATCACACAGCTACGTAGCTATATATCTCATTAGATTGTGATGAGTACTCCAGAGGAATATCAAATGCCACTATGAAAGCCTATAACAGGGGATCTCACTTAGGTACCATAGTCAGAAAAGGGTTCTATTTGAAAACAACGTTTTTGCTGAGACCTAAAGAAGGGTATAAGCATTACAGGGAGAGGAGCAGCATGTGAAGAGGACCTGAGGCTCAGAAGAATTGGCCTAATCAAGGAAAAGGCAGAACTGAGGGTAGCAGGATCACACTGAGTGAGAAGAGGGAGCCAAAATTGGGGTTTTGTTCTTGAAGAATTGGAAAGCTCTTGGAAGATTTTACATAGGGGAGTGAATGAGAGGGTCAGACTTGCATTTTTAAAAGATCTCTCTGGCTGCTACATGGAACATGGACTATAGCAGGGCAAGAGAGAAGGCAGATAGACCCATTAGTGAGGAAGCCTTTGAAGTAGTAGAGGGAAGGTGATAAGGATCTTGGTGGAAGCAGTGGGGATGGTTCAAAAGGTATGTGAGAAGAAAATGTTACAAGACTTGATTTGATTAGATGGCGATGGGGAGTGAGGGGGCTTCAAGAATGACTTGTAATCTTCTACCTTGAGCAGCAGAGTGAGTAATGGTCCCATTTGCTGTGAAGGGGAAAGCTAGAAGAGGAGATATGGCAGAAAGAGCTAGAATTCAGTTGTGGACACATTGGGTTTGAGGTATCTGTGACAACTGAATGGTGAGGAAGTATGTGAAACCAAATATGTGGTTCTGGACCTTAAAAAAGAGATCAGGGATGGATATATAAATTTGGGAGTCATCAGGGAATAGTTTTCTTCTTCTTCTCCTTTCTACTTCTCTTTTCTTTATCAGCCCCCCTCTCCCAGCAACCCCTTCCTTCCTCTTCCTTGCCACACCCCCTTCCCTCCTCCTGCCCCCCCCTCTACTTCCCTCCAGGGAACAACTTTCAAGGAAGTGTATGAAATCACCCAGGAAGAGAGCAGAGAGAGAGAAGGGACCAGGTTTAGAGAGCAGGTAGACCCAGAGGAATGAGGGGGGAGGGGAAGCTTCCAGAAGGGTAAGAGAAAAACCAGAAAAGTGTGGCATCTAGAGTGGGATGTGCCCAGAAGGATTATGGTCAAATGTAATGGAAAGCTAAAGTGAAGTGCAGCAAGATGAGGACTGAAATATTGCCCACTGGACTGATTTAGCAAAATGGGGCTATTGATGACATTAGCAAGAACAGTTTCAGTGGACTGCGTGAAGCCAAATTGAAGTGGGTTGAGGGTGAATAGAAGGTGAAAAAAAAGTGGGTGGAGAGAAAGCAAATGTAGAAAACTATTCAAGATGGAGGGGAGAGAGACAGTGTGATATTTTGAAAGAGATGCTGGGGGTCAAAGAAGAATCCTCCCTGCTGCACCCCCATCCCCTCTTTCCAGGCCACAGCCCACACCTTCTTGTCTGTGCCTGTCCCAGTTTGTCCCATTCCGAGACTATGTTGACCGGTCGGGGAACCAGGTGCTGAGCATGGCCCGACTGGCCAAGGATGTGCTGGCCGAGATCCCGGAGCAGCTGCTGTCCTATATGCGCACTAGGGACATCCGGCCTCGGCCCCCACCCCCTGCTAACTCCAGTCCAACACCAGCTCCAGAGCAGCCCTGAGGAGTCTACATATCCAATGCCTAGCAGTCTGCTCGCCTGCTCACCCACTGCTTCTGCTGAAAGCCAGAGGCACCTGGAGCCCTGGACCTCACTAGGAGGGCCAGCTTGGAGGATTGGTGCTGGCTGACAAGCCCTCTGCTCCCTCGCCTGCAGAAGGGCCTGGCACTATCACCGCCTCCCTGCCTTCATGCCAATAATAAAGCTAATCTTTACACCTCTTCTGTCTCATGGGTCTTGGAGAGAGAAGACTAGGGGACCCAGGGCCTGCAGCTCATGGGTCTTGGAGAAGGAAGAAAGACTAGGGGACCCAGGGCCTGGAGCCACACCAAGAGGGAGGGAGCAAGAATGGCTTGGGTTCATCCCTATCCTAACACACATTCATCCAATCACTTCATACATTCTTCAAACACTTTAAGAAATAAGCGAAATGTGTGTGTGTGTGTATGTTTTTTCCTCAGGAGAGAGGCCCATAGCTTTCATCCGATTCTCAAACAGGTTCCTGATCTCTAAAGGGGTTGACTTTAAGATGACTGTATAATTCTGCTTGGATCTATTTATTGTGAAATTTTTGATTAAGGAGGATAACAACAGCTAATATTTTCTTTTCACATTCACTACATATCAAACACTGTGCTAGGTGATTTACAAGCACCATCTCATTTAATTCTCACAACAGCCCTGTAAGAGTAGGTACTATATATTATTCCCATTCCAAACATGAGGAAACCGAGGTTCTGAAAGGATAAGTCACTTCTCTATAAGAACTTATCAGTTTGACTTCAGATCCCAAGATCTTAACCAGAAAATATCTTCCTGGAGTGTCAATTTTATTGGGATGCTTTTTGGAAAACACCATATATGAAAACATACATTTTAGGGGGTCAAATGCAAAGTTTGCATTAAGATAAAATAGAAGCTTTCAGATGTTTTGGGCTTTGCCCCAGAACCCTGGAAGACCCTTTCGTGCTCCTCTTTCATGACAAAGCATTGTTTAACAAGAGTGTCTCCTTGGCATCCAAGTTCCCTGAAGCCCCCAAGAACAATAGAGTTTTCAAGCTCCGTTTTAAAATAAGGAACTTGAGGAAGAATTTAACAACTTGCCCACATTCACATTGCTAGGAAGTGGCCCAGTCACAATAAATTAGCTATTCGTGTTTGACACCATCTTCCAACCAGCAACCTGTAGCCATGCAGCATATCCCTGCCAACCCACAGGGCTCCCAGCACCTGAATCCCACTTTACCATACACACCCACCAGCCCCCTGCACGACCTCAAACCCGGCCCCTTCCTTCAGATCCACACCTTCCCTCCAGCCCCTCTCCTTTACCTTTCTCGAGCTCCTTCCCTTGGTCACGCCCTGTTATCCCTAATCGGTCCCACCTTTTCCGCGTTAGCCCCGCCCCTTTGCCTTTCCCAAGCCCCGCCCTTTCCTTCTGCCTCGCGTTGTTTTTTCTCAGCTCTATCCTTTATCCCCAGTCCAGCTCCACCGTCCAGGCCCATCCCAAACTCCGCCCTGCCTTTCCTGAGGCCCACTCTTCTGTTCAGCCCCACTCTTTACTCCGCTATTCTCCTGACTGGGCCCAGCTTTCCAAATAGCCCCGCCCCTCTCGGCAAACCCCGCCCCACAGACTGGTCTATTCTTCCCGCCCCGCCCCGCCCTACCCATAACTCCAGGCCGACGTCCCCGTGGCTCCCAGCCCTGCCCCCCAGCCCCGCCCCGTGGCTCTGGCCCCGCCTCGCCGCCTTCCTCGGAGACCAAGGCCAGGTCCCTAACGCAGCCGCGGCGCCAGCAGGAGGGAGGGAGCAGGGAAGGAGGAGGTAGAGGGGGAGGGGAGAAGGGCGGGCTCCTCACGCCCAGCCCCGCGCTCACCGTCTGTGGCCGCAGATTCGCCACAAACGGCCCAACGACCCCGGATCCCGAGTACAGCGACTTCAGTCTCCAGAAGCTCAACTTTAAGATGGAGGCGCTAGAGGAGCCCTGTGGGGTGTCCAGGGCCCTTTCCGAGCCCCAGAGGACGGCCTCTCGGACCTCAGAGGGCGGTGGGGATCCGTGACGAAAGTGCAGCTCAGCAGCGCCGCGGCGCCAGATTTACCCTGCGCAGACGCCGTCGCCGCCGCTGCTGCCGCCGCCGCTGCCGCCGCCGCTGCCACTGCCTTTGCCGCCACGGTCTCCGCCGTCGCTGTCCCCGCGCTGTCTCCGGGAGCTTCCATTGTTCCAGCGGCGCCGAGTCCCGAGGCCGGGCAACCTAGGAGCTTGCGAAACGGGCGGCGGCCGACGGAGTTGAAACACCGGGGCGCCAGCGGGACCGGGAGCAGCAGGGGTCAGCGCGGGAATCCCGGGCAGCTGGGGCCAGAGTGTGTGGCTGCAGGGGGCCGGGGTGGCGAGGTCTACGGTCTCCGGAGTTGGGGCTACCCCTTTCCGGCCCGACTTTCCCCGCCGGCCTCCCCAAGTGGGGGTCGGAGCCCCGGCGGGCGCGCCCGGAGATGAGCCCGGACTCGAGGTTGCCGGTGAGTGCGGGCCTGGACCGGGGCGGGAGTGGCCGGCAGGGAAGGGTGAGGCTACTTTCGCAGGGCGCGCACTGAGCTGCCTGACCCGGGGACTTCTTGGGCTACTACAGTTGGGAGAACTGACAGTGCATTCTCTCCCAGCCGGCATCCCTGGGCAACAAGTGTATCCTTCGGGGCTACCAGGGCCAATGGCAGGAGGAGAGCCTTGTTTAACTTGTTTAACTTCGACAAAGGGGAAACGCCGCCGCATCCGGGAGAGAGGGCTGCAGGCACTGCCGGGGCCGGGCCCTGTCCCTTTGGCCTCCGCCCCCTACTTCCTCCAGCCGCCATACCCTTGGGTCCCAGGCCGTCCCCGCGGGCTTTGAGGTCTAAGCTCTCCCTCGCCTGTGCCTCTGCCGCCGGGTCCCAACGGGACATTCTGGGTGAGCTGTGCTACTTCTGAAGCTAGGGCAACAGAGCCGCAGCATTCATCTGGGACCCAGCTTGGAAAGAGGAGAGCTTGTTTGTGCCTCTGGTTGGTTTGTGTTTAAAGACACAGCTGCAGGTAGGAACTAGAAGCTCGTTGGAATTGAACGTGTAGATTTATTGATGTGGAAGTCAGGGGCTGTTGACAGAGGAGCTGGAGCAGTCCACTTGACTGGTTAAGCACAGGAAGAGAGAGGCCAGAGGGGTCACTGTCAGGAAGCTCAGGGTGGCTATGCCTAGCTAGGATTTTGCCAAGCCCCCAGCTGAATTGTTGAACTCAACTAGGCCGAGAGAAATTGGGACAGTGTCTGACCAAGCTGGAATTCCTGGGGGCTGGTGCCATCTGCTGTCTCCAGGAACATTGGAGAGGGGGAAGGGAGAGCCCCTGAGGACCAGCATGGAGCTGAGCATTCCTAGATTGTCATGTTCCTGTTTGTATCCTTAGGGCCTGGCACTTGGTAGGCCTTCAGTTGATGTTGCATGAATGGGTGAAGGAGGAGCTCAAATGTAACACCTACTGATATCACTGACTAAATGACCTCAGTTTTCACTGGGCTCCACAATACGTCTCCCTACCCAGTCCCTGGACCAGTGTGAGCCTCCCTATAAAGACCTCAGAAATAAACTAATTCCTTCTATAATCCAGTGATTTATGCAGGAGTCCAGAACTAAATCATTGGCCACCATTCAGGCTTCTACATGAGCTAAAACTAGTCTTCATCCCATCTCTCTCAGCTCCAAATCTGGTGATCCCCTCATTCAGCTATTCATTCATTTGCCAAAAACTAAGTGTCCAGTGCACGCTAGGTACAGGGGATATAAAGGCAGATAGGCTTTGTTGTTTGCACTGCACAACTCCCAGTCTAGTGGGAGGAGAAAAAGAACTTCCAATATGGCAAGTGCTGTGGTGGAGGTGAGAATGAAATGCTGTGGAAACACAGCTTCCTATGGGAGAATCAAAGAAATCATAACAGAAGTGACATTTGAGCTGGGTTTTGAAGAATGAGTAGGAGCTTACCAATCAGAGAGGATGGAGGGCATTCCAAATAGAGATCATTTTGTAGGAATGAGAGGTTAAAATATTCGGGGAATGGCAAGTTGCCCTGTGTAGACAGAAACAGCTGTAACTGGTAAAAAGAATCTAGAAAAGAGCTCCTTGAATGTCAGCATAGACAACTTAGATATTATCTTGAAGAAACAGGGGAGCATCAGGAGGCTTTTAGACAAGAGATTGGCCTGATCATTGCTACCTGGTAGAAAGATCACTCTGGCCACATATGTAAGATTGGGCTAGAGAAGTTGAGACACAGGGCAGGGTAACCAGGCAAGTGGTGATGAGGGCTCAGATCAGGGCCATGGTGGAGGAGATGGCATTCGGAGACACTGTCGAGGTAGGCTGGCCAGGACCTGGTGACCCCTGGGGAGAGAGAGGACTGGAAGAGAGTGGGGTCTCTGATACATGTGGCCAGGAACTCTTTCCCGGGCCTATGCTAACTGATCTGTATATTCTAGATGTGACAGCATGGGGGTGGACTTTGACGTGAAGACTTTCTGCCACAACTTGCGGGCAACTAAGCCACCATATGAGTGCCCCATAGAGACCTGCCGCAAGGTCTACAAGAGTTACAGTGGTATTGAGTACCACCTGTACCACTATGATCACGACAATCCACCACCCCCGCAGCAGACTCCGCTCCGCAAGCACAAGAAGAAGGGGCGCCAGTCACGCCCCGCCAACAAGCAGTCACCCAGCCCCTCAGAGGTATCACAGTCACCAGGCCGTGAGGTGATGAGCTACGCACAGGCCCAGCGCATGGTGGAGGTGGACCTGCATGGTCGTGTCCACCGCATCAGCATCTTTGACAACCTGGATGTGGTGTCAGAGGATGAAGAAGCCCCTGAGGAGGCCCCTGAGAATGGTAGCAACAAGGAGAACACTGAAACGCCAGCTGCTACTCCCAAGTCAGGCAAGCATAAGAATAAAGAGAAGCGTAAGGACTCTAATCATCACCACCACCATAATGCTTCTGCAAGCACCACTCCCAAGCTGCCAGAGGTGGTATATCGGGAGCTGGAGCAGGACACCCCTGATGCCCCACCCCGGCCAACTTCCTATTACCGGTAAGGCCACCTCTACCTCCCAGCTCTGGAAGACTGTTCAAGGAGGGCTCAGGAGCCAGAGAGAGGTGACAGGCACAGATAGGAGAGTAGCAGGCATAAAGAATAGCGAAAGAGTACTGACCCTGCCATGGCAGTAAGAGGAATGGTACCCCTGCTAATAGTGGCACTTGCTCTACACTGCCACACGCCAAGCCCTGCATTCAGTGCTTTATAGCCACTCCTTTATTTTATTCCCAAAACTCTCTCAGGTAGGTATTGTTCTCATTTCACAGATAAGGAAACCATGGTCATGAAAGGTTGCCAGACTTATCTAAAGTCATATGCCAGTAGACAGCTGAACTAGGATTCAAAACCCAGGTCCCTCTGACTCCAAAGCTGCACTATTTCCACTGTACCAAAAAATACTGTTTCTGATTCCTCACCCCCTTCACTCCCTCGCTGTGTGGCTTTGAGAATGCATCCAGCTTCTGATGTTCTGGTGACCCCATCTGCAGAGCAGATACAGTGTTCCTCTGTCAGTCTACAGGAGGAAGGCTAAGGTCACTTATTTCATAAGGTCCTAAAAGCAGTTTGTAAATCTGCTTTCATTTTTTTCTGTTTTTGTCATTCATCCTTTAGCACTGTGGTCCCTAACCCCAGGCCACAGACCAGTACTGGTACCGGTCTGTGGCCTGTTAGGAACTGGACTGCAGAGTTCTGCCTCCCCCCACGCCACCCACCCATCCGTGGAAAAATTGTCATCCATGAAACTTAGGAATCAGGCTGCACAGCAGGAGGTGAGCGAGTGAAGCTTCCTCTGTATTTATAGCTGCGCCTCATCATTTACATCACTGCCTGAACTTCCCCCTACCCTGAGCACCCCTCCCTCCTCCCCCCACCAACCGTGGAAAAATTGTCTTCCATGAAACCGGTTCCTGGTGCCAAAAAGGTTGGGGACCACTGCTTTAGTATGTTTAAGCAGTATTTTCATTGTCTA